ACTTATGGGCAACCTTTGGGCAGAGTGCAGGGAATCTTAGGAAAGAAGTGGGAAACAGTAAGATCTGGAGAGGACAGGAACTCCACAAGGAGAGCAACAGAACCAAAAATTCTGAGCACAGGGGTCTTTCCTGAGACTGATACTCCAACCAAGGACTATGCATGGAGATAACCTAAGACCCCTGCACAGATGTAGCCCATGGCAGTTCAGTATCCAAGTGGGTTCCATTGTAATAGGAACAGGGACTGTCTCTGACATGAACTGATTGGCCTGCTCTTTAATTACCTCCCCCTGAAGGGGAAGCAGCATTACCAGGCAACAGAAGAAGACACTGCAGCCACTCCTGATGAGATCTAATTGACTAGGGTCAGAAGGAAGGAAAAGAAGACCTCTCCCCTATCAGTGGACTTGTGGGAGGGGCATGCATGCAGAGGGTGGAGAAAGGGAGAGATTGGGATGGGAGGAGGGAGAGAACCACAGGGGGATAGATACAAAGTGAATAAAGTATAATTAATAAAAAATTTTAAAAAATATTTAAAATGAAATAAAAATTAAAAGGAAAAGCTTTTAATCCGTGCATTATCAAATGAATTAAGAAAAATAGTTATTGAAGTACAAGTAGCCAGTAAATACATGGGAGGGAAAAAAAAACACCTCAATTCCTTAACAGTTGTAAAGGAAATCAGATTAAAACTACACTGATATTCCATCTCAGCCCTGTCAGAATGACTATCATCAAGAAAACAAACAACAAATATTGCCAAGAATGTGGGGAGAGGGGACAGAACAACTTATATACTGTTGGTGGGGGAGTAAATTCATCAGCCTCTATGGAAATTTTCAGTGTGAAAATTCATCAAAAAATTAAACATAATATCAAGCAGAATGGCTCAGCTGGTAAAAGCAGTTGTCATGTGTTTGGTGACCAGAGTTCCATCCCTGGAACCCGCATAAAGGTGGAAGGAGAGACCCCTGTTCCATAAAGTGTTCCTTTGACCTTTATACATCTGCCATGGCACACATGCCCCTCCCCCCACATCATGCATACACATAGAAAACTAACTTTTTTAAAACTAAGAATAAGACTACCATATGATCCTGTTGAGCTACTTTTGAGTATATGCAAAGGACTCAGAATCTACATGCAGCAGAAATACCTGCACATTCTTGTCTATTGTACTACTTATAAAAGCTAAATTACAGAATAAGCCTATATCAATAAAACATGCTGAGTCTGTTTTTGTTGTTTGTGTCTATGTGGTTCCACAGCTCACCACTTTACGATGAGCAACAAGTAAAGGGACTTATGCCTGAGAGGGAATAATTTCCCTTCTTCTAGTACTCAATGGTTACCTGTAACATTTTAAAGGGGGCTGGCGAGAGGTACTGAGTACATATTATTCTTCAAGTGTGAGCCTAAGTTCGGATCCCAGCATCCACATCAGACGGTTTATAATTGTAATTCCAACTCCATGGGAATCTATTGCCTCTGACATCAGTAGACTCCAGCACCAACATTCATGTGGTCGAGATTTCCCCATACATAATTAAAATATCTTAAAATCATTTTTAAAAAATAAAATGAATTTTAAGAACTTAACTTTTCTCTTAAAGAAAAAAGTATTAATAATTGACTGACATTGCTCATTACCAGAAAAATAAAACTACTTTTTTTTATTACTTTTGTTGACTTTAATCAAAATTCCTGAGGGAACAACTTAAAAGAAAAAGATCTATTCTGGCTCACTGTTTCAGAGGGTTCAGTCCATGGGCACTTGGCCCCCTGCACTTGGGAAAGACATCATGCCAGTAGAAGCATATAAAATTTATTTGCCTATAATTACAGATAAAAAGCAGAGGAACCTTCAAAGCCACATACCCTTACTACTTACAGCTATCTGCATCTCCTAAAACAGCACTACTAGCAATGAGCCAAGCACTTATCACATGAGCTTTGGGGACCATATCATATTTAAGCTATAACAAATATTTGTACAATATCATTTGATAAATCTCTGTTAAATTCTAGGCACTGTGTAAGCTTGTTAAAATGGAACAAGACATAGTTCTGTGTCTCAAAGAGCTCATTATCTGGTGTGAGAGATATCTGGGTAAATCAATAATTGTAATATAATTAAGTGCTATGATGTACATGAGAATGAGAACAAAAATTCTCAAACCTATCTGAGTGTGGTAGTTCATGTCTTTAATCCCAGCATTCTAGAGGCAAAGGCCAGCAGATATTTTGAGTTCAAGGCTAGCCTTGTCTATATAGTGAGTTCCAGGAGAGCCAGGGCTACATAGTGAGACTGTGTCTAAAACAAAATAAAACAAACAAACAAACAAAACCCCTCAAACCTAAATGAACATTAGAATTTTCTAAGGATCTAAGGTATACATTTTTGCCTTATCTCTCAAAGAAAACCACCTATGGAGTGACCTAGTGATACTTTGTTTATCAGTCGACAAGGAGATCCCAATACACAGTGAGGATTGAGAATCACTGGGACAGAAGAAATATAACATACTTAGTTCTTAAGAAAAATGGGAGCTGGGCATATTAATGTATTTATCCCAGTACTAAGGTGGCTGAGGCAGATGGCTCTCTGTGAGTTCAAGGACATAGCGAGTTCCAGGAGAGCCAGGGCTACATAGCAAGATTTTGTCTATAAGTAAATAATAAATAATAAATAAATGACTGTCTCTGAATGAATGAATGAATGAATGAATGAATGGGAGATGGCCCTGTAAATAAAACATTTGTTGTACAAGCATAGGAGCCAGTGTTCACAGTTTCAGAATGTAGTAGTGTATATCTTTTCACATCATCTCTACAGCAAGATGAAAAGTGAAGAATCACCCAGAAGCTCTCAAGCCTATTAGGCTGTTCTCTGTGTCAGTGATGAATAACACATCCTGTCTCAAACAAGATGGAAGGTTGACCTCTGATCTCTACATGTACACCAAGCCACATGTGCACACTCACATAAAGATAAAAGAAAAAAAAAAGGGGGGGGGCAATTGTCAAGACAACAAGGAGAAAAGTGTCTTTCAGCTTTCTATCTAGAACTCATGATCCATCAGGGGAACTGGAAATAGTTCTGTAGAGCTTACTATAGGATTGTGAGGGAAAAGAAAATAGTGAAAGACGAGACCAGGGAGCTAGGCAGGAGGCAGATCAACTATTGTCTGTGAAGGAATTAGGACTTCATAATAAAAGTGGTGGGGAGTGACGTGATCACATTTCTCTTTTAGAAAAAAAAATAGCCTTTATGGTGCTGTGAAAGATGGATTAGAGAGCCTGGAAGCAGGAAGGCTAATTATTTAATAGACTGTTGTGACTCAGGCAGGAAAGGAGGGCTAAACTGAAAACATGCTGGAGAGTATAAGATTTTCAAGGAATAGATAATAAGGAAACAGAACCCACAAAGCAATAATATGTGAGGGAGTAAGAGTCATATAGTGTAATTGTTGCTTTAATTTTCTCAGATGATGGAATGAGATGAGAGCCAAACCCAGGCTTTATAAATATATGGCTTGGGATGAGCCCAGAGCATTTCTATCTAACTATCCTAGGCCTAGGCCTGGAAGCTTCAAACCTCAATACAATGTAATCTGCAAACCTGGACCTTGAAGGAGTCAGCTTCCAGTCTCTGCTAACCTAGGCCTAGAATGTTTCAGCCTCTGAGACTTAATGCTGAATAAACTCACTCTTTATAGCTCTTTCTGAACTCTGGATGGTTCAACTTAGCTGTTCTGGCTCAAGTGCTCTCCAAGCTGAATGATGCAAACTGGCTTGTCTTGGTAAATAGTTGTGCTAGGAAAAAACTACCTCTGAACACCCATGAACTGAACTGCACTGACTGCACAAATTGGATGGAAATGCATGAATTCAACTGAATTCAACTGCATTCAACCGAATTGCACCCCCTGAACTCCCTTTCTTGTCCTGTTCTCCTGAGAGCTGGGCATAATCTTACCACTGTCAAATCTTTCTCTGATTCATCACTTTGTCTGCCCCTCAATTAGACATCACTTTCAAACATGCTTGCTTGCTTCTATAAACTAATCTTACTTTCATTGTTTGGGATTAAAGGTATATATGAAGAACATGTCTGTATTCCAGCCAGATCGTGCTATAATTCAGGGTATGTCTGCATTTCACGAGAATCAAATAGACCTAGGCCTTTGGATGTGATCCCTTCCCAGAATAGCCATGTTTCTGAATTAAAATTCCTCTGCAAGCTAAGGGATACAGTTTTCTTTATTTTTCACATAATGCTTACTTGCCAGCAACAAATGGGCCAGGATTAAATACTTCAGAGGTAGAAAATGTCTTCCTATGAAATTAACAATGTGATTTGAATCTAGTCACTTTGTGCAAAATTTACCAAAATAATCAGTGGCTATTTATAATACATAAATGACTAAAGTCCCAACATGCTTAGGGCCAAAATGTGCAACATTTCTCCCTCCCCACACCCAACCGACAGATTGCTGGTAGAATTGGAAAACAGAACTAAAACAAAGGTTTGAGGGATTTTTAATGAACAGAAAAGGCTGTACCTAGTCTTTAAAAGCAAATGGAGTGAAAGCCTTCTAATCCTTCAGAGCTTCATCTGACATTGACCTTAGAATAAAGAGCCTCTCTCCTACATCATCAGACCGAATTTCTCTGTTTCCTTCTTGTTGTTCTGTGTAGTTCTTTGATCCTGGGATTCTCTTTAGAATAGAAGAACAAAAAGGGGGGAAAGCTGAGATGAGTGTTTTGCAAATCTAAACAATAATAAATTAGAATGCATAGTAAATGGATTGCAGGCCTGAGGTTGCTGCTTATGATAGTGTTCCTAGCTGCCATGCACAAAGCCATGGGTTGGATTCTCAGCATGGCCAAAGTAGATCAATAAATGTATAAACAAAGAAACATTATGCAAAAATCTATATCCATTATCCAAGCCTTTAAAAATTGAAGGGTTTTTGTTTTTTGTTTTTAAGGAAAGTTATTCTCGCATCATCCTGCATTCATTTCTGTTGGCTATTGCTCTCTCAATAGTTGTGGTACCTGTCTTACCTGATGGAAAACATTTGGAAAATGAGGACTACTGACATTAATCATGGCATTATTTAATTGCATAACTATAAGACTAATAATAGCATTGATACAAGTTCTTAAATTGTTTTAGGAAAAAAAGGAATATTTTAAAGTATGGTAAACCTTTGAAAGCTTTTGTTCTATAGTGGAAAAACTTATTTGAGAATTACATGGAAGTAAAAACATTGGGAGCCTACAGAAATGAACCTCTAACATTTGAAAGAAGTAGGACAATAAACCAAGTCCATATACAGATATGTGTGTGTACACCTACTATGAGATAACCCAAACATATAGTCCACACACACACACACACAAAAATAGTCATGTAGTAAAGAAAAACCAAGCTATGAAGGTGGGGGCACAGATAGAGAAAGAAGAGGAAGGAAGAATAACAGATATAGACTGAAACCAGGAGGTAAGAAAGAAAAAATTCTAGGGTCCTTTGTAGTAAGCATGTCTAGATTAGGTCTAAATTAGAGGAACCCTGTTAAATTTGAATTTTTTTACACATTAGTAATTTTTAGTACATGTTCCATGCAAAGTCTGAGACACTGATAATAACTCAGTGTAATGTGAAATTTAAATGTCTTTTTTTTTAAAAAGTGAAAACCTACTCCAGACATCCTGCTCCTCTCCTGACCACTTGGTATAAACAGGTTGAGTCATTGTCACCCATTAAGACTGTCTTAATAAGGATGCAGTTTACTTTTTAAAATTTTTTTACTAAATTCGTGTTTAGAAAAATAAAAGACTTTACTCTTCCCGTCTGAACTTTTGTAAGATTTTATGGAAAACATAAGAAATTACAAATTAACTCCATCAACTGTTAATGCCATATATGCAACTTTAATGTTTAAAGGCTTCAGGTTGCCTCAAAGCTTATAGAATATTTAAGAAAAAAATTTTCTTGTGGGAAAAAAAATCCAGATTTGAGCCATTTGTGGTTTCTGCCTCTGCCTCCCAAAATTTTAGCCATCAGGACAAGAAATTAATGAAGTGAAGTAAAAGTTGGAGGTGAGAGGAACGACTTGCTCTCAGAACAGGGTTAGTGAGGAAGTAAGTACTAGGGTATATTCATTTTCCGCTTCGCTAGGCTGCAATATCAATTTACAGAAAGTACAACATCTACATCCAGCCTTCCGGTTCCTCTCCTAAGGAGAACCTCCTGTTTGTTCTCAGAGACTTCCGGTTCTTCTCCTAAGGAGAACCTCCTGTTTGTTCTCAGAGACTTCCGGTTCTTCTCCTAAGGAGAACCTCCTGTTTGTTCTCAGAGACTTCCGGTTC